ATCACTGCCAATGTAATGTCACGGAATAATTCATGGTGTTTATTGGGGCACGGAATTGTAGACAATAAAATCTTGACTTAAAGCTTTCGTTACTGCAGGAATTCATACTCTTGGGTCTTCAGGTGAGACGATTGCTCGTGTTGCGTCTTCAGGTGAGACGATTGCTTGTGTTGCGTCTTCAGGTGAGACGATTGCTTGTGTTGCTATCGAAACGTCGTGATCTGTTATTTTTTATTTACGTGACTTGACGGAAAGACCCAAGGGTATGTAGACAATTACTTTATTTTTAAATGTGGAAGGAAATTAGAGTTGCTAGGTAGAAAAAACCCCGCGCAATAAGAACAATAATGCTGTAATCGAATAGCGATGCCGATCGCCTGCTCGCTGGAACCGCCATCTCTTCGTATTGGCCACGCCACAGTTAAGCAGTTTTGGAAGCTCCATGCCACGAGCATCTGGTGCCTGATTCGCTGGAGGCGCCTCCAAAGTCCCGAATTTGCAGACTTGTGCCACCACACCCAGTCTCGACGCAGAGCGTCCCCTCTCCACAAACCCGGGTGTCACTTTTACTGCGGCGTTATAACTGGCTCACAAACGAGGTTTAGGTGCGGAACAAGCAGATCGTGAAACACTGGGGTGGGTCGCAGAGTGATGCACCTGTTCACACAGCATGGTCTATTAACCCAGGGCAGCCTCAATGAGTCTCATATATATTTATTTCAGGAGGGTCCGGCTACATTTGAATGCTTTACATATTCCATGAATGAGCGCTGGGCTTCATGGTGGATGAAACCCAAGCTAACGCAAGGAGTACTACACTCAAAGATCCACACAGATAGATTCAATAATATGTTGCCATCATGCCAAATCCTGGAAAATAGCACCCCAAAGTCCACAAATACCTGGAATTGACAGGCAATCTTCCGACCGAAGCACAAACCAGACTCATACCTGCTTAGCTTGCATGACCCACAAGTATCAGGCGCATTCAGACGGAATCACCAGGTCTCCATTGGCATTGTCCTCGCCATAGAAATATGGAATTCCGAACACTGGCTCAGCATCCCCAGATAGCAGACAGGGGCACTGAGTCAGTTTTGAGCGGGGGGAGGGGGGGGGAAACTCTGACTTTGACTCTCGGTCGCTAATGAGGCCGGCTGATAGATGCAGCCATGGTGGAGGGGGGGGGGGACACTTTAATTGTCAGACGCGCGTTGGGGTCACGTCGGGCCCTCCCCGCGGGCTCCGCAACGCCACGGCGACTGCAGCCAAGGCGATCGCTTTTGCCAGAGCAGCTCCTGAGCACACGGGCTGCCTACAGCGAGCAGACGTGCTGCAACCTCTTTCTTCCGTCGCGTTACAACTGATTTGAATCGTTCATTTGTATTGCAGTCTCTGCAGCCGGTTGCGAGCATTCGCGCGCGACCGGGTTGCCGACAGCAGAGACAGACTCCAAGCTTTCAAGCGAACGGCTTGCTCAGTGATCCAGGAGGTCAAGTCCACGGCCCATGGTCACTCAGGCAGCTCCCGCAGTGCTGAAACCAGACCGAGGTGCCGTGGTCATTCCGGCGCATCCCGACCCCCCACCGTCCCTCCCCGACCCCTCACCCCCCACCGCGTGTAGGCGAGGCGAGAGCTCGCGACGTGACGTGCCCCCCCCCCCCCCCCCCCATGCCTCGCGTCCTTGCCGCACATCGCCCGAGGGAGTCTTGCGTCGAGTGGCTGCGTCGCGTGTTTCAGAAACCAAAGGAGGCAGAAACGAAGCGGGCGGTTCGCGGGTTCCGCGCGGTTTCACGCGGCCCAGCGATCCCATCGGTGCTCGAGGCATCGCGCGTCACAGCAGAGCCGAATGAAGTGCTGCCCCTCGGCGCAGGCGCCTGCTTCGGTACTTCAGAGTCCGCGTTAACGCGATCCCCAAGGCCACCTCTTACCAACAACCACGCTCATTTGCAATGGCCTACGTCGGTGTTTTACACGAAAGCACCCGCACTGTGCGGCAGCCCTCAACACTTTGTTGAGTAAAACTTTTTGACGCCCGGCGTCATCGCCCGGACCATTTTAAAAAATAAGACCTTGATTACAAAGGACATCTGTGATTCCAAAGGCCATCTGTGATAAGGAGCTTCGTCGCTCTGGTGAATTTTTTCCAGGATAAATAAAACGTCTGATTCTGAGGCAAAGCCACACATGCAGACACACCTACAGACACACCTGCAGACACACCTACAGACACACCTACAGACACACCTGCAGACACACCTACAGACACACCTGCAGACACACCTACAGACACACCTGCAGACACACCTACAGACACACCTACAGACACACCTACAGACACACCTACAGACACACCTGCAGACACACCTGCAGACACACCTGCAGACACACCTACAGACACACCTGCAGACACACCTGCAGACACACCTACAGACACACCTACAGACACACCTGCAGACACACCTGCAGACACACCTACAGACACACCTACAGACACACCTGCAGACACACCTGCAGACACACCTGCAGACACACCTGCAGACACACCTACAGACACACCTGCAGACACACCTGCAGACACACCTACAGACACACCTGCAGACACACCTGCAGACACACCTACAGACACACCTACAGACACACCTACAGACACACCTACAGACACACCTACAGACACACCTGCAGACACACCTTTCCGCATCACGCTGACCTTTTCGGGGTCAACGTGACCCCATGCGCACGTGAGTGAGAGCAGAGGCGTGCAGCGATCGCGTCGATTGACGTTAATCCGCACGGTCACAATTACGCGCGTGGAATTGTGCGTGCGAGAATCAATTATTTACGATGCGTATGGAAATCTAATTCAAATGAGATGCTATTTTCGGGTTCATGGAGAGAACAACATTATTGAAACGAGACAAAGCAAACAATGGAGAGAGTACGCACACTAATGGTTATGTGAGGAGACTGGATCCTGGCATATGAATGTGGAATTCCCTGCCCTCGGTCAGGATTATGAACGGAGACAAGCAGCTCCCCTCTAGAGAGGCCATCGTGTTGATTTGAGGGCCTTTAGTAGCTGTGCTACAATATCATACTCTTACAACAGCTGCTTTCTCTTTATATCCGGTTATTTCAATTATCCAGTTGTCCATAAATATTTAGATTACTAATGCTATCGGTTTGAACCGTCCTGAAAAAGTCACACACATCACACAGACACACACCACACACACACCACAGACACCACACACACTACACACAGACTACACACTACACACACACACTACACACAAACTACAAACACCACACAAACTACACACAGACCACACACCACACACACTACACACATACTACACACCACACACACTACACACAGACTATAGACACCACACACACTACACACATACTACACACCACACTCACTACACACAGACTACAGACACCACACACACTACACACATACTACACACCACACACACTACACACAGACTACAGACACCACACACACTACACACAGACCACAGACACCACACACACTACACACAGACTACAGACACCACACACACTACACACAGACTACAGACACCACACACACTACACACAGACCACAGACACCACACACACTACACACAGACTACAGACGCCACACGCAACACAATATCTGTGGCGGGAAGATGTCGTCATCTGAGTCTCACCCTTATCAGCCTGCACGTGGACTCCAAGGTGATTTTTTTAACGCGTCTGTGATGTGCTGTGGGGACTAGATCACTCACGCCTGTCTGTCGGTTGAGACACTTACGTTCAGGCGCGCAGGGTAAAGAAGACGGGTAACAGCATGACAACAACACAGTTCAAACTGTTGTGTGAATATAAATAGTTAATTCTTTAATTGATAATTAATGTTAACCTCGATGGCAAAGGTCAAGGTGCAGGGCTGCAACTGCTTGACCACTCCGCTGCCGGCGGGAGATCCTCCACTCCTGGGAGCCCTAGAGAGCCAGCAGCCGTCATGGAGGAGCTGGCAGCACCCACGCTTTACCCAACCACACGTGACCTGTCATTGAACTACTGTCGTTGACCCTCTTCGTCTGCTGGGTGCGGCGCAAGGAGGAGAGGAGGGGGCGTGGTTAAGAAGTTTGGCAAATTACTTCAACTGCCGCGCCCGGAGAGCGCAGCCAAGCGGCGACCCTGTAACCTTGTGACCTTGTGACCCCAGCGTGTTTATTCCACAGCGCGACACAAACACACTCGAGGGCTAGAACAGAAGGAACACATATCGACACGAGCGCGTGCACGATATCACTCACAGGCGAGTGCACGCTGCACGCGGATTAGACTCGGCATCTAAATGTCCTCGCCTAATCTCGAATTCGAGAGGAAGCGATAAAGACATTTTCCAGCCGGCGGAAACAGCCAAAACAGCCAGACTCATCTGTCCTCTCAACAAGAACAAGATTTCCTCTTTTCACATCGGTACTTCCACTCGATCGATGAGGCGCGACAACGTTTTCCACGAGGTGACAGCGGCTTGGAGAAGCCTTCATCCAGCAGTGGATCGACCATGGCCGATGATGATAATGTTAAGTGTGGCGATGACCGTGTGTGTGAACTATGACCGAATCATTCGTGCGGAATGCGCACGATTTTGTCAAATCTCTGAAGGCTTTAGCCTGGAGAGTGTTTTGGATGGTTCGACCAGAATGCACATACAGGGTGCCATAGGCAGCTGCGGGGCTACGTTGTGTTGCGGCAGAGGAGGGTTCGCGGTACGGCTCGTACGAGTAGGTGGGTAGCCGGTTGAGGCGCACGGTCAGTGAGGGCCGGTACTGGTTGTTGGCCAGTTGGCTCGGGACTTGGGCTATGGGTGGGACTACTCCGTGGTTGGCCTGCTCGCTGTCCCTCAAGCCACACGCCGGCGCTTGCCACTCGTCCCAAATGTCGACGCACACCAACGATTGTTATTTTTTTCTCTTTGTTTTCTTCTTCGTCTTCTTTAGATTTCGGACAAATGTCAACCTCCCCGGCGTTCCCCGTGTGCGCCGCGTCTCCGTTCTCACACGCTGCTCGGCGCCAGCTGGCAGGAAGGAAGCTTTCGCAAGCGCCGCTGTCGTGAATGGGGGCGGGCGGGGGGGGGGACTGGCCCCCGCCACGAGGTGCGTGAATGACCGGAGAGGAAGGAAAGAGGATGACTCTGTGTGTGTGTGTGTGCGTGGGTTTTTGTGTGTGTGTGGGTTTTCGCACCGCCACGCTGTTTCGCCACTGCCTCGTCCCAGGCCACCTGGCAGCGTGCGGGTCAAAGGTCACCGCTTGTGACTCGAAACGCGACCGGCGCTTCCATCTGCGGTGGGAAAACAAAAGCCATCCTCCTCCTGCTCCTTCGCCTGCCCCTCCACTACCGCCACGTGCACCTGCTCATTAATGGCTCGGTAGCAGCCACCTCGCGTTAAGTGCCGGCGCGCGTCATTTATCCCTTCATTTATTTCGCTTCGTATTCAGGGGGAAAAAAAAAATCGCACGGAACAAACCGCCCCCCCCCCCTTCCAAACCTTAACGCCGCTTTGTCGAAGGCGCCGTTTGATTCGCGCGTCGCAGCCTCCGTGGATGCTGCGACGCGCGATGCGGGGGCACCGCAGCTGCCTCCGCCCCCGCACGCCGCCGCACGTGCGGAGGCGCAAAAAAAAAAACGCGCGCGCGCGCGCGCTCCACCGCTCCTCGTCCTCCTCTCGCCGGCACAGGGTGGGCCAAAGATTATTTGGCAGACGTGTCGTGGGGTGGGGGTACACAAAGACAAAGATCCCACGTATAGCCTTAACAGACTGTACGGGCAAGTGCTGTTAGCGAGCACCTATGAAGGCCGGAACGGTACACGAGGGGGTGGGTGGCCAGCACCACGTCCGACCGCCTTTGTCTCCTCAGTGGCGATGTTTACTACACACCGCACCAGGTAATCATTTGAGGCTGAGTCGACCTAGGGGAGGCCCAGGACCGGTTCAGATAATCGGCACCGGTGTTGCCCGTGAGCGGGAATCGCACCCGGGTCGCCAAGTTCGTAGCGCAGCGCGCTAACTGCTACACTACCGCTCCCCTACACACGCACACACGCACGCACACACACACCGACACGCGCGCACCTTGAGTCCCCTTGCCCAGCTAAAGGAGGGTGAAACGCATCGACCACCACCGCTCACAAGACGCACACCGGGGCTGCCCCGCCTCGAGCTCGAAGCTTCAATCTTCTCCTCCTCCTCCTTCTTTCGTCGTACGGCTGCTGATGTAGATTCAGAGCAACGACTACAATCTCACGTTCAGGTGGTCAACAAGCCAGATAGCCGCGTCAGGAGCATCGCTGCGATGTCTCCTTCGTGTTTGTGCATCGGGGCATTGGGTCGTTATGTCTTGTACGGTCTGTCGCACACTCCTGGAGAGTTTTTAATTTTCCATGTGTGCATCAGGTGCCCGCATCTGTCGTGGTGTTGTGCAGTGGATGCGAGTTGAGGGTGGACCGAAGCTCCATGAATAAGAACAAGAGACGTTAGAGTCACTGTCAGGCGCTCCACCGTAGCGCTCCAGTCGCCCCACTTCAGCTGTCGGCTCGGGAATGTGCGAGTCGCGTCACGTTGACGTCCCTCGAGCGCTGCCGCTGTGTCCCTGGAAGTCAGTAGAACGTTTGTTTCACTTTGTCATCAGTAATGAAGCTTCAAGCGCGTGTGTGTGTGCAGGGCCCAGGATATACACAGCCTGGGTACGAATCAACAACAGAAACGCTCTTCGGATTCTTGAATTTATCTTTGTGGAGCGTTGAGTTTCGTCTCCTCGTTGGGTTTCTCCCGGCTCTCCAGTTCCCTTACAAATGAAGCCAAACGCCCATTCATTAAATTGGCCAAACATCCCGAAGCAGGACCCTCGTGAAAACAAATCTTGAGACTCCGTCAGGTTTTCTGAATTCGCAGAGCACTATTAATATTGTGCTCATTATGTTATCGGTTGAGTAAAAAAAAAACAATACAATTCTAACAAAAATATATTAATAAACATAAAGGGAAAGGATGAGGAATGAAGAAGTTGGAGGCTCGGCCAGGATGAGGAATATTTCTCTCCCGAGAAGGCGAGGGAGGAGGAGGAGGCGAGACGTGTTCGGGCACGCGTTGAGAGGAGACAAAGCGATGGCATCAGAAGGGCTACGGAGACTTCTAGACCCATAGACTCACACAGACACCTACAGACTCACACAAACACCTACAGACTCACCTATAGACTCACACACCATAGACTCACACAGACACCTAGAGACTCACACAGCCACCTACAGACTCACCTACAGACTCACATACCATAGACTCACACAGACACCTACAGACTCACACAGACACCTACAGACTCACCTACAGACTCACACACCATAGACTCACACAGACACCTACAGACTCACACAGACACCTACAGACTCACCTACAGACTCACACACCATAGACTCACACAGACACCTACAGACTCACACAGACACCTACAGACTCACCTACAGACTCACACACCATAGACTCACACAGACACCTACAGACTCACACAGACACCTACAGACTCACCTACAGACTCACACACCATAGACTCACACAGACACTTACAAACTCACACAGACACCTACAGACTCACACACCATAGACTCACACAGACACCTACTGACTCACAGAGACCCATAGACTCACACAGACACCTACAGACTAACACACCATAGACTCACACAGACACCTACAGGCTCACACACCATAGACTCACACAGACACCTACAGGCTCACACACCATAGACTCACACAAACACCTACAGACACACATAGACCCATAGACTCACACAGACAACTACAGACACACAGAGACCCATAGACTCACACAGACACCTAGAGACTCACACACAATAGACTCACACAGACACCTACTGACTCACAGAGACCCATAGACTCACACAGACACCTACAGACTCACACACCATAGACTCACACAGACACCTACAGACTCACACACCATAGACGCACACAAACACCTACAGACACACATAGACCCATAGACTCACACAGACAACTACAGACACACAGAGACCCATAGACTCACACAAAACAAAGACAAATATCCACATATAGCCTTAACAGACTGTAGGGGCAAGTGCTGTTAGCGAGCATCTATGAAGGCCGGAACGGTACATGAGGGGGTGGGTGGCCAGCACCACGCCCGACCGCCTTTGTCTCCCCAGTGGCAATGTTTACACACCGCACCAGGTACTCATTTGAGGCTGAGTCGACCTAGGGGAGGCCCGGTTCAGATAATCGTCACTGGTGTTGGCCGTGAGCGGGAATCGAACCCGAGTCGCCAGGCTCATAGCGCAGCGCGCTAACCGCTACACTACCGCTCCCCAGTAGACTCACACAGACACCTACAGACACACAGAGACCCATAGACTCACAGACACCGACACACTCACAGAGACCCATAGACTCACACAAACATTTACAGACACACAGAGACCCATAGACTCACACAGACACCTACAAACTCAAACAGAAACACATAGACTCACACAGACACCTACAGACTCAAACAGAAACACATAGACTCACACAGACACTTACAGACTCACAGAGACCCATAGACTCACGCAGGAACCTATAAACTCACACAAAAACCCATAGACTTATACAGAAACCCACAAACTCACACAGCGTACATTAGTCTAAGGGTTTATATGTAAGTCTACGGGTCTGTATGCCCCTCTATGTATTATGTAAATGCATGCCAGTCTACGGGTCTTTACGCAAGTCTTTGGATTATAAAAGTGCACACGTGCCTGTGGGTCTTTATGTAAGTCGATGGGTCTCTCTGCCGGCTTTGGATCAAGACGCAGCAAGTGTGAGTGTTGGAGAATGATAAGAGGAACGTGAGCGCACGGACAGACGGCGCCACGCAAACTTCCCGTCCAAACTTCTGGGCTCCCTTTAATTGCGGACTCCCCTGAGGCTATCGATTTGGCTACTCACCGTGCAGAGCTATCACACGGATAGGGCCACCCTCTAGGATCGAGCCCTCGTGAATAGCCCGACGGTCCTCACCGTTGGAGCTCATGCGTTGGCGCAGTGGCCGCTCGGACACTGACCGCGCAGCGCTCATGCAGTTCGGTGGTCGGCTGTGCAACGGATGTGAGATCTAGCAGGAGGAAGGAAGCGATGGCGATGTGTGGCGGCATTGGTTGGGACCTGTGTCCACACACTGTCAATGCTTTCTAAACACAATCATCATCGTCGTCATCGCCATCATCATCATGAGCCGTGATCAGTCTCCCGCTGGATGAAGGCGTCTCCAAACCGCCCCGAGCTCTCACTCTAAACATGTGCTCCGGTCACCGACCCGCGCTGCGCGAAGTTTGGTCAAACACTCCTCCTCCCCGCTGTGGCAGACTCTCCCCACACCGTCCGCGTGGAGTCTTTACGCTTTCGCGCAATTGTTTCAGTTGCGATTCCAGAGCCAAGGTAGCGGTCTGCGTCAGAGGCCACAACTTGGACGTTTAAGCGACGCGAGTTTGCACAGCGCCGTCGCCTCCTTCGTGTCGGCCGCCTCCTCCTCCTCTCACGGCACGCGGATTGCGCGAGGATTTCCGTTGTCACCGACGACCGGCGACTCCCGTAGGGACACTTTTGTTGAGCGCGACCAAGAACCACTTCACAGCTCGGCTTCATCGAAAATGTCTTCGTCGACGGAAAGAAAACTCCCAGGGGCGCTGTGCCTCTATCGCCCCGTGAATTAAAACGCACAAATAAATAAATGACATTCTCGTCGATCTGGAATTTAGAGAGAGAGGGAGATCAAATATCCTCTGTGATCTGAAAACGCAGGCGAGAGGCGGCGAGAACAATTACCAAGTGACGTGGCCTTGCGACTCTGCGTTGAGCGCCCAGGGAAAGGCTTCGCGGAGCCCCACGCGCTCGCGATGCCGCGCCCAATTTGCGGTGCTCTTCCCTGCGAGTGCGCGCGGTGGGGGGTGACGCGGGGATTCAAATCTCCCACTTACCAGGGATTCACATGCCCCACTTACCAGGGATTCACACCCCCCACTTCCCAGGGATTCACATCCCCCACTTCCCAGGGATTCACATCCCCCACTTACCAGGGATTCACATCCCCCACTTACCAGGGATTCACATCCCCCACTTACCAGGGATTCACACCCCCCACTTCCCAGGGATTCACATCCCCCACTTCCCAGGGATTCACATCCCCCCACTTACCAAGGATTCACATCCCCCATTTACCAGGGATTCACATCCCCCACTTACCAGGGATTCACATCCCCCACTTTCCAGGGATTCACATCCCCCACTTACCAGGGATTCACATCCCCCACTTTCCAGGGATTCACATCCCCCACTTACCAGGGATTCACATCCCCCACTTTCCAGGGATTCACATCCCGCACTTCCCAGGGATTCACATCCCCCACTTACCAGGGATTCACATCCCCCACTTTCCAGGGATTCACATCCCCCACTTACCAGGGATTCACATCCCCCACTTTCCAGGGATTCACATCCCCCACTTACCAGGGATTCAAATATCCCACTTACCAGGGATTCACATCCCGCACTTCCCAGGGATTCACACCCCCCTCACTTGCCCCCCAGCACCCGTTACGTGAGACTACAATAACGACAGCAACCTTTTTTCTCCCCAAAGCTCCAGTGGCGCCTGCGAGCACGTTGTGTGTTTTGTTGTTCACATCTCCGTACGAGCAGCGGCATTAGATGTAGGGATA